TCGAATACAGTCGCACGGAGATCAAAAACATTGGCACGATCTGCTCCGAGACGAATCGCCTGTCCAAGAAATTTGATCAGTATGATCACGTTCTATTTCTAGTGTAAGTCAATATATTACTCACAGTGGACAGGTGCTCCAGCGCGACCTCGTAGCGTTTGAGGCGAAACGCGTTGACGCCACTGTTAAAGTCTTCCCGCCAGCTATGTGGCAGTACCTTAGTGTTAGATTCCATTTTATGGAGCAGAACTGGCCGTGGAGACTTGAGGTTGTAGTTGAGACCAACTAGATAACTTTCCCTGAAACGCAGATCACAACAACAAATGTCACTACTACGATCAACACCGCGACGCGACTGATTGTAACACTCATCAGGATTAGCTCAATCTATGCGCAAGAGACGCTGATTCAATACCCAACTGGTATTGGAGTCGAATCCGGTTAACCACACCAACCTTCTGTTGCCTGCGGCCTTGGTTGCCAGACGTACCCCGTGTTTTCTCGGATGTGCGCCTTGCTACATAAAGAAGGCGGCTTAATCCGACGTATCTCAATTTTGTGCACGCCAATCGTTTACCAGGTCGGTCAGTTATTCCGGCCACTGGAGAGCTGGGCGGGTCTACATCAAGCAACTCTCCTAGGACGCTCTGCCCTCAGATATCTTGCCACCCCGCAACTGCCGCGAGTTTATTGCACCGCATTCTCAGTTCCCCTTATTTGGGTGGTGTGATCCTGCAGGTTTTCCACTTCTAATGTCTTGTGCGATCCTGGACGTCTGGTCTTCGCAACCCCAACATCAATCCATTTCTCGATTTTACTCCCTCCATTGCGATCTTTCTCGCTCCTCCATCACATGTGAATGCTTTGAGCAGTAGACCTTTGTGATAATTGGTGCACAGGCTCGATGGGAATCGAAGGAAACGACTGTAAGGTCAATTTCGCTTGGGAGGCTTCTAATTTTGCTATGGACACTGCATGAGCTGGTTTCATTCTCATCGCGATTGAGCAGCTCATTCTAGGATTTTCACAAAAGAAACACGTGAAAAGGGCGCCTAAAATAATGCGTAAATTCAAAGAGGCCGTCTGCCACAGTGACGTCCGGGTTCCAAATGTTGGGTTGAACCTGGATCCACAGCTCTTCTTCCCCACAACCCCACAACTTGGCACCAAGATGCACCAAAATTCCTTCTTCCACATTTGTAGGTTGCTTATCCTGATAGTCCATTTGTTTTTGGAGTTTCTGTTTTGGGCTACAAGGATACAATACAGTCTAAATCGAAACGGCATGACCTTCGGCAATTCCTATTGTCGACCAACGCTATACGAGAGATGACAAGTAAGCAAAGCATGAAATGGGGACGCACTCTAAGGTATGATTGAATTGCAGAAGCACCGATCTAACCGCGGCCATGGTCATGGCGTCAGGCGTTTCATCTCAGTTCAGCTCATCTGGGGGGGACGACTGGGAGACGAGGCAGATCATCGGGTCTTCTATTAGGCTCGTCCTTCCAATCACCAGGGCCCCGACCTAAAAGACTCGCTGGGCCTCGATCATGCCTGTGTTTCCGACACTTGCGTCCTGGTGTCGAGGGCCTTTGGTGTATTGTACTTGTATAGCTCTCCAATTTCCGACCCGTTGTTCAAACACCTATTCCCTCCAACTCCGCGCGCCGTCTTCGCGAACTTGTCCTGGAGCCCCCTTTACTCATTAATATCATATTACGGCGGGAGATTGAGAAGCATCTCTACCACGTCGTAGGCGAAAGTTCCCCTGCCCGTCCTGACCCGGTACCGTTGCCATCCTCTCCCCTTCATCCCTGGGCACGTACGTATAATCGGAGTGCAAGTTTTCACGTTTCAGTCTATCTTCCACCTCCGTTTCCCATCTTGCCAAAAATCCCTCGCAACTTCAAGCCAACTACTTCTGAAACTACGCTCTCATGGCCACTATGTGCGACGAACTACCAAGACAGGTTCAATCCTGGATCTCAACATCCGGCCTATCATGCCCGCTTTCCATTGCATCCATCGGCGAGACAGGCATTTCCATATCATCTTTATCGTTCAGGACATCTCAATCGTTCCGTGTCATCAACTCCAGGCAATGTGTCTTTGAAGCGCTTGATGCAGGTGAGGACAATCCTGACGTCTTGAAGAAGATGTACCAGAATTGACACCCTGTCTCGTTGCGTCAGACGACCAGGAAACACTCACGAATATCCGCTCTGATAGCCGGGTCTCCCTGTTATTTGAGGTTTTTACTCCAACAGCTCAACAGATCAGAATCCAAGGGAGAGGTTAGTGGTCACCCAACTCTCCACAGGCCCCCAATAAGCTTTTCGCTTCCAGAACCGGTCCTGAATTGTGCTGACGGTGTCTCCCTTTCCCGGTTCCCTCCTGCCGCTTTTGGGGTTCTTAATGGTGCGGTTATCTAATCCCTCAAAAACCTCTCGGCCGCCGAATGTTCAACCTCAATCATACATCGCCCTCGTACCAATCCTCAACACCTCCTCGGCACCGGGTCAAATTAAACGCTCGTGACCACGTATTTCAGGCCTCGTGTACGAACGCGGCTCCAACGCATACAACGCAATCGCACCAATAGCATCGAACTGGTACCCTGCTGCCTTCGTCTCCATCTCGGTGCAGCGCGTCTGGATAGTGAGTTGATGCCATGCCCTTCGCCCGTCCGCATTCGTCGGCTTTTAACCATGAACTTTATCTTCAAATTAGTCTAACGCAGGCCCCCTAATCACCTCATTATCGCAGCAAAACGTCAATCCGGCACTATCGGCCTCAGCAACTTTGTCTCGAACTCGCTCACGCCGACAGTCCTCAGACGGTAGAAGAACGTCTCTTCGATCGAGCTCCAACCCACACCAGATTGAGAATTGGGGGTGGCCAGCTGGCGGGGACTCATGTTGCGTGACATGACTGAAAACTGAACAGAAGAGCCGTTCTCGCTCGCATCTCTAATATTACCTTTCCCCCCCCCAATGACCTTCGTTTATTGCGTCCTTCCACTTCGCTCCCTACTTTCTCCTCTTCATGAGATGGAGTTGTAATACTTGTTGTCTGGATAGCTTGCCTCTACGATGTAGCATCATTCCGTATACTTTTCTATGCGTGGTTCGATGTCCAGCCATCATTCATGCCTTCTCGCCTTCTCCTCGGATTCCAATCGCTCCTCCACTGCAAGTTCATCAAATGCTAGCCAACCGCATGCAACGGGCGCGATTGAGCCAATGGCCACGAATGGTGCGGACAACCCCAGCCACTTAACACCATGGTGCATCCACCGCCATGCTAGCATGGATATGGTCGTCCAAACAATGTCCCATCCAATACTCGACTTCGCCGGGTGCTCCTGCAAGAACCTCCAGACTGGGGGTAGACCACCGGAGGCAGCCACCATCCGTGCTGTCGTGACCAACCGCAAAGCCCCTGAGACGGTCATAACGATCGTGAACATCTCCGCTGGACCCATTCGGGAGGGTAATCTATTCAGGGACAGGGGCAGGAACGGAATGATGAGGAGGCCGTGCATGACAAGCAGGTTTGGGAGGTAGAGTTCAGTCCCCATTACCCATGGCGAGATTGCGACGGTCCCGAGCGATAGCAGAACACAGCCGCATACGAATAACGGGATCGATCTATCCTTAGCCCTCGTAGTTGGCGATGTCGAACTTGACGGGAGCATAGAGATGTGCAAGAAGAAGAGGTTGACTGCCACCGAGATGGCGACGATTTGACCGAGGAGCATGAAGGCCCAGGCATGCCGGACCTGTCTTGATCGAGCTATTAAGACGCCGAGATGGTCAAACGACAAAAAAAAAAGGTATTCGGTGAATGCCGGGTGAGTAAAAAACCCAGGTGAGGACGGCATCATGTCAGGGGGTTGAAGTCGGCACTCACACTCCGTGAATAGGAACAGCGTCCAAGCTCCGGCGGTGAATATACACAGCTGCTCGCTCCACCACCAGTTGACACGACCCCTGCAAACGATTTCCCATGCTTGCTCGAACAGAGCTGTCTCGTAAACCCAATCTGCCATCCGGTCCAAGACCCAGTTAGCAGGGCTGTCGGTAATGACCCCAGTGATAGAGTGCTTCCGTGCTTCGTAGTCTCGAAAGCTCCACTATAATCGGAGGGTTACGGTGTGTTCAGCGCGAGGTCAGGTGAGAGGGCCGTAAAGGCCACAAGAGGTGAGGCGGAAGCTCACAGCCATGAAGCGGAACATGTCTGGAGCAAGAGCACGTTAGCCTTTTGATGTATTGCAGACGAATCAGAGAGATATTACAATAACTCACAGAACCATGTATGCAAGAGCGCTGCCACCGTCAGAACCCCAAAAACCGCGGTCCCCGTTTTCCGAGGATCACGTTGAGGCGTCCGTGAGCGCAAATTCGGGAGTTTAGAAATAATGAAGCCGAAGAGGACAGATATCGTGGTCAAGTAGCCAACCAGCGGGAGCAGAGATGCATAGCGAGAGAGCGACATCGTGGCAGAAATTCGTTGAGTGAGAACCAACAAGGGTCTTGTGCACAGGGTTCGCATTTTGGTCACCTCTCCAGTCCAAGCTTCCGCATGGACATGGACATTCTAGACTGCCTGTATCTTGAAGAAACAAGGTTTGATCCAGACCTTTGAACTATATCCAGGCCACTGTCAATCTCCTCCTGTGGGTGTGCCTCAAATCAACTCACCGCGAGTCGCCAATGCACTGCTTTATACTACTACCACCTTGAATGCCTGGAAATGACTGGGCCCTAATCGCAAGGCCTGATTCTCAGAATTCAATGCTTACTCTTTGCCGCCGAGATGAGTGGTGAGTACAGGAGTCTAGACAAAACCATGCTTGCAGGTAATGATTTCGGATAGCCCAAATCTCAATATGATTACAATCATGCCTTTGACGGCGTTTGGAGCTTGTGGCTACAAAGCATCATGGATGACATATTTTTATTCCAAAATAATATTATCCGAACCCTACTTTAAGCGTCTGCTTAGCGCAGTCGGTTAGCGCGTCAGTCTCATAGTAGTATGAGTTCCTCACTGGGACGCAATCTGAAGGTCGTGAGTTCGATTCTCACAGCGGACATGTTTTGCCTTTCCAGGCGTAGACCTCCACAACCGCGATTGCTATTTTGTCTGAGATTATACTCAATAGTATTGCCACATCGGCAATATCATGGCAAATTGTTGGTATGTAGTTCAAAGTGCAGGGATACACTCAGTGATGGTCTGGATAGCAGGCACTCTTTGTGCACTCTACGCAATATTTCCGAAACCATTGATGCTGCAATTTTGAGAACTTAATACACTATCTATTCGACATATTCCGAAGGTTTGGCGGCAATAGCTACGAGGTTTACTTATTCAAGAGGTAAGTGGAGCATGTGATCCGTTTGCCCGTCTATACCGAGATATATATAACCGATGACATCTTCGCCCACATCTTCAACTCGAACGGCAACGATACAATAAAAACGTGCATAATTATACATCTGTTCTAACTCGCTACAGGTCCTTGATAAGCAAATGCTGACGAAAATAACTTAGAGTCGAAAATGAATGGAGAGACGGGAAGACCGGCTTCTCTTCAGAGAGAGGCGAGATGCGTGTTGGGTAAGCTGAACATGGTCGGTCAGCGACAATGTCGGAGGTAGGTGCAGTTCTCAAGGAGAGCTCACCTTATGCAATAGTGCAGAGGCCACAACCCCCGTTGCCGTTCTCAGCGTCGCATGGGACATCCTCCCCAGTAGCAGCGGAGAAGAGAGAGGTAGCGAAGAATGCGTCCATAAGATAAGAGATGGTGGAAATTGATGGAGTGTAAAGAGAGTATGTATCGATGGGGTATAGAGAGTGTGGTGGTGAAGTGAAGTGGATGTTGTTCTGTGAAGATGAGATAGTGAATTTGGGCAGACTTTATGTACCCAGCACTTATCGGCGCTTCGACAGTCAGGGATTGATCGCTCGGTGAACTCATGGTCGTACAAAGGAGTTCATTAAACAAAGGCGCCCATCCGATCTTCCTCAAAGATAAAGGGCAAATTGACGCGCGAGGTGTTCCTAGGCATGATTCCATTGTGTGCCTGGGATGCAACCGTGGGGTTGCGAAGTAACGATACAAACGGACTTGACCTTAGGTTCCAACTACAATCCACGGCCGTTGTTCGATGGTCGCAGTTGTACAATGAAGAACCACCTCCACGAAGGAAGGATCCGTATGACTGACTCCAGTGGTAACGCACGCGACTCTCGCCCGCAACACGTGCGGTAACCCACTCCAACCGCAGCACACCACTTAGAGTACAGACATTGTTCTTGGTGCTAGCAAGCCACTGGCGGGAAAGCGTGCTTCATTGTATGCCACAGTCAAGTCGGTGTGAGAAAGAAAGGGAACCGTTGAAACTGACAGCTGCGGATCGTTGTTTAGACGGTCCGCGAGAGCCCGAAGGCAGGACAAGCGTGAACCCTCGCGCTGCTAGGTTCAGAAGTGACCGAGAAGCGGTTCTCCTTGTCATGCAACTTCTTTCTAATCTTCCGTTACGGGCCGCTGCACAAAGGCATGGATCATGGATCATAGACTTACGAATGTCTGTTCAGTCACGTTTTCCTTGGCGTGTATCGAGCTCGGTCGGTGCTAGTCATGGATAAGCATACTTGAGAGTAAATAAAGCTACTAGTGCCACGAATCATTGGAAAGTACATCAGTATGCTTATCACAAACCAACAGTAGCACCATCGATTCAGGACTACTTTGCACTTCCAAAGAGGCTCAGAGAGGCCTGTATAAACGCTGGAATGAGGGTGTGAGTACGCGAATCCCTTACTGTTGTTGAATGGTAGAAGATCAGATCGTCGTCTACTACAGGGTTTGGGTGGAGTAATATGAACTCACGTTATTGGGAGTTCTGGTTCATGGATGTACACGCTTAACAGTGGCAATCCGCGGGTATGCACGAGCGTCATCGGTGAGGCGAAGGAAATCCTGGGCTTACAGAGCGGCTTGCTTAGCACGACGATGATCATGTTGACCTGAACTACCTGACACAGCGTGATCAGGGGTCTACTGTCAATCGGCGCTCACTGTACGTCGTTGTAGAACAGCGCCTTTATTCTTTGCAGCTGGGTCAAGGTCGCAGTTGAGAAAGACTCGCTAAGGGTTCAGGTGAAGCAATTGGCCATTGCAGAATTGAAGATAAGTGAAGAAGTATCATCAGAAGCGCTAGTAAGTTCACCTGGGATAGAAAATCAACCATTCTAATAGCTAAAGTGCGCGAAGCAAGGATCACATCGAAAGTTCCGCTACTATCCTGCCCGTATTTGGTGGCAGCTCCTAAGCGAGGTTAGGTTTGCTCTACGCTTTCATTTCATATTGCTGTATAACGTTCTATGGCACTAGCGCGCCTTGGAAGGATAATGCTAGTTCGAAAATTCATCCCTGCGACAGCTGCCTGGACTCTCCGGAGAAGAACCAGTGCGCGGACGTGTCAAGAGAGCACCCTAGTATTGAAGACGATGACGTCACAAGCGTCTTGATGAGGATCAAATAGGCGAAGGCAAGGATACGCGTGATCGAACAGCTTGAAGCAAGTGGGACGGGCTGGGACGACTGGCGTTTATGCGTTTGGCGTTTATCGTACAGTACAATGAGATGGTTAAGCGCAAGAGCAGTATACCTAAAGCCGGATGCTGGGTCAAATGAGAAATGCCGTACAGTTAACCGCCGTCAGGTCTCTCCAAATGGAAACAGCTAGACGGATCCCGGCCATGAGTTGTATGAGTGTTTATCGACGTACCAACATGGCAATAGCAGGGTCAGATCCGCAGAGTTAACCGAGTCATCGGTCATCGGCATGCGTCAATACTCGAGACTTTACGTGTCCTGTAAGGCAGTATATGTGGCAACGCGTTTGTGTTGAAGGGGTAAATGGTCTACATGATCATATTGTACAATAAACAATTACGGGTCCACACCCCAAAGCAAACAGCCCACCCAGAGATATATAACAACCCAGTCCACTTCTAGTCGCTTCCAGCGTACTCGTCCTCACTATCGTCCTTCAACCGGGTCTTGCGTGCAGCAGGCCTGCGCACGGGAAGATCTTCGTCGTCGCTCACCGGCAGGGATGTTGGGACAGACCCAGAACCCCCTCCTCCGCTTGACCCACCGGCAACGCTCCCCGAAGCGCCTCCCATAAAGCCCATTTTGGTCGCCTCATTTCGGAAGGTGGACTCAAAGACCTTCTGCATCTCGTTCGCATCGATGTACACCCAGGAACCCTCTTGGTTGTATCGTCGCGCGTTGTCGAACAACGTCCGCCACTCCTGAGCATATTGATCGATTGACTTGTAGTAGTTGTTGTTCATCGCACGCTTACGAATAGTCGAGATAGCGATCGGGTTGCTGATGAGCTCATAGTAATCCGCGTAGTCCTTGATGGCAAAGGAATGCTTGAGTATATGAAGCCAAGCAGGAGTCAAACAACTCGCTTACCATCCTGCTGGGAAGCTCCTTGAATAGATCGCAGCGCTTACGGCCATTCTCGTCAGTGAGATTCGTGATCACCCTATTGATCTCGGTGAAGAGCTTCTTCATCTTCTGTCGAACCTCGGGTGACACAGCTCCCGTAGGCGTAGAAGGTCCCCCAGTCTTACGACGCTTCTAGAGCTCAACAGTAAGTGACCAGGCCACGTTGTATGATGCAGAGGCAGTTAGAACGCACCGAAGTCGGCTTCTCATCCTCCTCATCGTCATCTGCGATGGAGGGTGTGACAGACATCTCTTTCATGCGCTTCCGTTTCGCCGGGATAGGTGAGTCCTCATGCGCAGCACTCTTCCCTGATGGTCGTCCCCGTCGTCCTTTCTTCTGCGGCTGCTCGGGTTCGGGTTGAGGCGTGCTCTGCTCTGACACTTGAACAGAGGCTTTCTTCCCCGTCCGGCTTGTACGAGCACGGTGATTTTGCTCGACATATTCCTCATAATCGATTCCATCGTTCTCGATAGCCTGAGGTAAGAAAATTGAGTAACATGGACGAAACCACAACTCGATGAGTGATGAGTTGGGAGGACAATACATACCGCGGAGAATTGCTCGTCAGTCAGACCGTCGTTGTAGCGGACGTCCTTGCGGACGCGTGCTCCCCGCCCCTCCGTCACATCCAAATCCTCCCTGATGGGGAACGGATTTTCGGATCGATATACAGCAGGTATCTCGTTCATCTGCAACATGCGTTCCGGTTTAGGCCCCAGCCCGCCGGCATTTGTCCATGCCAAACGTTCTTGCGCTTCGCGGGTGATGTCCATTTCCTTGAAGCGGATCTGTTCTTCGTCTGTTCGGGCAAGAAGCTCGTTGAGCTCTTCATCGGTCATGTCCCCGGTGGCGTCCTGACTCTCGTCATCCTGATCTTCGATGAGTTGGCGCTAAATGACGTATGCTGTGAGCAATTCGGGCTGCATCGCAAACAGAGCGCATGGTCACTTACAAGATACTGATCTCGTTCCTCCGCCGTAGACTTGTTGTCGAACCGACCAGCCTGAATGACCTTTTCATCCATATCAAGCTTGGTTCTCGCGCGAGTGAGGATTGCCTCCTCGACGCTCTTCTCGGTGACAAATCGGAAAATTCGGACAGCTTTCTTTTGACCGATACGATGGGCACGATCTTGGGCTTGCAAATCAGCGTGAGGATTCCTAATTCCATGAGACTCTGGTCAGCGTTTGGTTCTACCGTAGGCAGTGTCAACAAGCGGTTTACCAGTCGGAGTCATAACTGAACGGCAAAACCAAAGAGTCAGTTCACTGGAAAGCGGCGGCGAAAAAAGAGATATTCTTACATGATAACAGTATCGGCTGTTTGCAAGTTCAATCCAAGACCTCCAGCTCGCGTCGAGAGCATGAACACATTGAATTCGGAGTCGGGGGCATTGAACTGTTTGAGGAGCTCTCCACGATCCTCAGTCTTGGTTCCACCATCCAAACGAAGGCATTTGACCCCCTTGAGACGCATGTAGTCTTCCAAGATGTCCATTACGTTGGTCATTTGGAAGAATATGAGGACCTTGAATCGAAAATGAATAAGTTGATAATCCGGA